AGAGGAGAAAATGGATGATGATGATGATGCAAAAACATTTTGAGGAATGGGGGAAAGGAAGAGAGAGAGTTCACATGCATTGAAAGTATGCTGGATTTGGAGTTACAGGGCTTAAATTCAAATCCTGGCTCTGCCACTTACTATTTGTGTGGTCTTGAGCAAGTCACTCAAACTCTCTCAGCCTCAGTTTCTCTCCTATAAAATGAGGGGACTGCTAGAATGTGAAGTCCTTCAGGACAGGGACTGTTTCACTTTTGTCTGTGTACTCCCAATGCCCATCAAAGTACCTGGCACTTAGTAAGCATTTGATAAATGCTTTTTAATGAATTGATTGACTAGAAATCCCTTTCATCTCTATATCTATGATCTGATGTCATGGTCTCAGAATCTTCTCAGTGAAGGAGAATGCTGAGATGGAGAGAGTTTAGTATTTAGAGAAAAAGAAAATTATTTTGGTTCTGTTTTCTTTAGCTTGCCCTAGGAAAAAACTTGGAACGAGTCACAGTGAAGTGAAAAAAGTCAAGGTGGAAAGGATGGAGATGGGGGGAGGGAGAAGGTGACTAGAAGCTGGTGTTAGGATCCTGTTTTTCACAAGTTGTTCACTTCCTCTGATTTTAAACCCAAAACACAGTTGGCTCAAGGTTATCAGACATCAGCTGGGTTTGAAGGCTGGAGGAGGAGAGGGGGTTAAGGAGAATGTGTGACCCTAGTAAACAGAGTCAAGGGAATGGCCCTAGCCATTTTCCATTGGCAACAAACTCCTGTTCTGTACTTGTAAAGAAAAATGGCCCACCCCAGACCTCAAAGCTGATAATGAGGCCCTTATTAGGATGCTTACAGTGGGAATAGAGAAGAACGGGCAGAATAAGAGTAGTGGTTCTCAAAGAGTGAGCAGGAAGTTCTGGGAAACACATGCTTCAAAATTCTTTCCCACACCCTGGGATTTTCACATTCATCAGCTTTTGCCTTCAGATGCAGTTTGCATGCTGCTATTCCTTTCTGCAAGTCCTGAGTAAACAAGGCAAGAAGAAGTTTCCAATGGAAAGAACAGAAAAGGAGAATTGGAGGAATATCAAGGCCAGGTCTGAAGGCCTGACTGCACAGGAGCCCTTCTTTGTTGCTACCTTTGTTGCCACTTTCAGTGTGCCTCAGTTTCCCTATGTATGACAGTATTCTTTTAAGAATTTTTGGATTAAGATCTCAGAGACAACTGAGGAACCTATAGTAATTGTATCTATAAAATGGGACTGTCTATAAAATAATGACAACCCAGATTAGAGGACAAAAGACACTGACTGGTCCACTGTTGTTTGTCTTTGTTCTCGAAGAGGACCATGGCACCTGGAAGGTGACTTGCAAGTGAATTGGATTTAAGTGAGGGAGGGCTGTGCAAAGTCACCAGCCTCACTTTCTGCTCCAGAGCCATCTGGGTCCAGTGGCAAGACATAGATCAGGACGACTGGAGATGGCCCCTTGACTGGTCCACTAAGTTATTAGGAAAAGTAGTGTTTAAAGGCCCATTTAAGAAGCTCTGCCATGTAAAGTCCTTGATTAGAAGGATATCTCATTGTTCATCTTTGTATGTTGAGTTCCTTTTTTCATCTTTGTATCTCTAGTACTCTTATGATAGTTGGAGACTAATAAATATTTGTTGGCTTGGAAAAAAAGAATCATTGGATTATAGAGATGGTTGGAAAGATATTACAGAGGTAGAATCCACTGGTAACTGATTAGACAGGAACGGTGGAGAAGGAAGAGTCAAGGAAAATAATAACTCAAACTGATATAGCCCTTTAAAAGATCACAAAGATAACTTCAAGGTTTAGAACACAGGGAAGAGAGCACCCTGGGTAGAAAGGATGAAGTCAGGAAAAACTAGTTTGTGGTTACTATTTAATACAATTAATATTATATAATATTGTATAAAAATATTATATAATTTATATTATGTAATGTCATATAAGAAAAATTAATAATAATCAGAGACTAGGACACATGGAGTTTAGGGTGTCAGAGGGACATCCAGCTAGAGATGTTCCAGAGACCATTGGAGAGTGGGTCTAGTGCTCAGAAGAGAGATCAGGGCCTGAGACGGATATTTGGGAATTACATAGGTGGTGAAATAAGATTGATTTTTTTTTTGATTGGGTAAAAGGGGTCATTCCTTGGCTCATTTCTTAACTAGCCTTACTCATTGAATGGGTGTTACCTCAGTTAAAAGGAGGACTCAGAAAGACCTTAGCTTAAAAAGGACAAGGTTTCCCATTGCATCCTTGGCCATCTCCAGTCGTCCAGATCTATATCTTGCCACTGGACCCAGATGGCTCTAGAGGAGAAAGTGAAACTGGTGACCTTGCACAGCCCTCTCTCACTTAAATCCAATTCACCTGCAAGTCACAGCATCATCTTGCTGATGTCATGGTCCTCTTTGAGAATGGAGGACAAACAACAGGTGGTGAGGTGGTTGTTGAAATTGTGAGTGTGAAGGAGATCACTGCAGGAGGGTGGTGAGAAGAGCTACTTTCACAGTATCTCTTGTACCTGTGGCCTTCTCTCTACTCTACCATCTAAGTTGAAGCCCTCAACATCTATCCCTGGGACAACTGTAATAGCTTCCTAATGGGTCTCCTCTCTCCAATACATCCTCCAAACTGCTGCCAACATTTCCTAAAGCACAAGTCTGACCAGGTCAAACTTCCCCATCCCCCTCAATAAATTAAAATAGCTCCCTATTGTCTCTATGATCAAACATAAAATCCTTTCTTTGGTACTTAAAGTTCTTTACAACCTAGCCTCTTCCTATATGCATGGCCTCTGTCCCCACACTCAGCTCTACTGAGCTGTACAGTTCAGCTGTACTAGCTGGTTCTAGGTAGTTAGGTTACTTGTTATTCTACACACAGCACTTCTCACTCAGCACTAGATGTCCCCTATGACAGGAATGCTTTTCCTCCTCCCTTCTTCCTCTTGGAGCTGCCAGATTTATGGATTCCTGACTCAGTTTAGGTATTACCCTCCCTGGAGGCCTTTCCTGATACCATCAAATGCTAGGGTCTTTGAATTCAAGACTGTCCACTCTGTATGTAATTCTTACACAAGGAAAAGTTATTAGTTTTCCACCACCCACAGAAAGCAGAGTAGATAACAAAGGTAATGAGGTGTTAATATGTCAGTAAGATGTTAACACCCAAAGTTCCCTTAATGAAGTGAGACATCTTTCTCTGACAGAATTAAAGGGAACAATCTCTATGGATGAGGACCCACTTTCAAAGAGCTTTAAATAGGAAGTCGTGGGAGAATTAGGCAGTTTTAGAGAGTGAGCGCCAGGAACTACCTACAAGAGAACAGAAGGAAAAGGGAGGGGATTTTTTTCTCTCTCTTCACCCCTACTATTACTGTCATCTAGTATCAAGTATCTTTGCATAGAAGGAAATACCTTATCCAACCAGTTTGAGAGTTAATATGAGAGACTCTAAGGTACAGTTAAAGGGACAGAACTCTAGACAGGCATAGAGAGGCAGTAACTTGAGGCCAGAGAGCTTCAAGGATCATGACACTGGCAACAGAGAAGACAGCCCGAAGAGAGAGCTAGCCATGGAAATCAAAAGTTGAAAGGCATGAGGGCTCCACATGAAAGAAAGGACATTAGGGTCCCAAAGAACCACACTTGTCTATTGCCTTGGCCCTGTATTCCCAAATCTGTGTGCCTTGCTACTTAGTATTAGTAGGTGGGCCCACTTTTCCCAATGACCATGTTTTTATGAGAGAATGATTTATGCTGGGAATGTTTTGTAGCTACGTTTTTTTTTTCCAAACTATGTCTTACTAAATGTCTTGCCAAGTACTAATAGCGTCTAATGGTACACTATTAAGGGGAAGTCCCCCACCAGTAGGGGCTCATGAGCTCTAATTTTATAAGGGTTGCCCCAGAGGGTATCCCTTAAAACTTGGGAGTTCCAACTACCCTCTGGGAATCCAAGACAAAGTATAAGTTGAGGGAGTGACCCCTGCTGAATAGACACACATATAACACAGGTTGTCTCCCCTCCTAGAATGTAAGATCTTCGAGGCTGACTGTAGTGTTTTTGTCCCTCTGCAGCACATAGTAGGCTCTTAATTCCCATTGAGTACGGAAACAACAGACCTTACAATATTACTTCTGCCCCTCTCAGTGGCGATGAGATAATTTTAATCAACACTGTGTATGCCTAGACTCTTTTTTTTTTCTTTTTCTAATCAGAGAGGTTTCAAAGTTCAGGACCCTGAAGAAACGAGAATATGGTGCTGTTCAGAAACAGCACCTCGTGAATGTGTAGAATTCTTCTGCTTCTCTGCACGGCAGGGTAACATCACACACTGTTCTCTTTTGTTCTCTGTCATATTCCCTTCTTTCTCCCATGGCCTCTGCCCTTTCAAAGCCCCGTTTCTGGGGATCCTGCCTTATCTGTGCTCCTCTGACTCTTCTTTCTGTTTTCAGAATAATCAAATCAAGGAGAAAACTCTCCCTCCACACTTTGAAACTTCTTCGTTCTCCTCTCCCTCTCTGGGGTCTAGGTCTGCTTTAAGTGCCCCTCACCCAGACTCTCCCTCCCGTGGCCTTCTGTGGCTGTTTTAGATGCCAGACGATGCCTAACCACCTAAAACCTAGGAAAAGAGAAACTAACGGGCGGACGCTGAAGGCCGTGAAGTTGAGCATGCTCCGTCTGGGTGACAAGGAGGAAGTTAAGTGACAACGCGGGAGACCTCAGAGGCCGGAGCACCTAGCGCCAGGCCCGTTTAACCATTTAGGAGAGGAGTAACTCCTTTCGCAGTTCCCGATTCCCTCCTCCTGGCCAGTTCCTGTCCCTGGTAGAAGAGGCGGCGCGGAAAGGGCTGGAGGTCGGGCAGGAGTCCAGGGAAAGGCTCCCCTGTAGAGGAGGCGGAGTTGCGCTGGAAGCAGGAGGAGGAGGAGGAGGAGGCAGGGGCCGGGCTAGCGAGGCTGGGCGCTGGGCGCTGTTTACCTGGTAGCGGCCGGTCAGCAGCTGGCTCCGGGACGGCGTGCACAGGGGCTGGGTGTAGTAGTTTTCCAGCCGCACCCCGCCGGCCGCTAGCGCGTCCAGGTGCGGGGTGAAGATACTGGAGCCGTGGTAGCCCACGTCGTTCCAGCCCAGGTCGTCTGCGAGCACAAAGACAATGTGGGGCTGCCCTGTGGCCCGGACGCAGGAGCCTGGGAGCTGCAGCAGCTGCAGCAGCAGCTGGCGGAGGAAGAGGAGGGAGAGGAGCGGCCTCTGGCCGCCCTTGGGCGCTCCGGCCGCGCTGCCGGGCTTCATCCCTCGCGGCCCAGGCCTCTCCAGGCTGTGGCTGCTGCCCGGCCGTGCTCCCGACTTAAAACCAGGAACTGGGCAGCTCGGGCCCGCCCCGCCCCCAGGAGAGCCCTCTTCGCGTCCCCCGAGGAGCGGGAGGGGGCGGCCCCCACCTTGATGAGGCAGGGGGCGGGGGGAGGCCCCACCCCCATGCAAAGTTCTCTAAGGATCAAGACCGAGCCATCTAACCATTCTGCTGGGGGAATCTGGCTCAGCTAATTAGTACCTGCATGACTCCGAGGTCATAGAACTGGAATTTCACTTGGCTAATCTAATCTGCCCATTTTGTAGATGAGGCCACTGTGGCCCAGAGAGCTGAAATGAATTGTCCAAGTGGTTAAATCCACTTTTCCTACCACCCCGGGCTGTCTGGGGCTCGATTTTTCATATTCACTTCGATAAATATTAAGCAACCACTATGGGCAAGGCCACGTGCTAGGTACTAAGGTATGCAAAGACAAATGAGGAGGTTGGACTCTTCTGGCTAAAAGGCTCCACGAACCTGTGAATTCTTCATAAGCAGGGCTGGTTACTTCTAATGAAGAGTGATTTTTTTTTTCATCCCAGACAAACTCCAAACAACATTTCCATATATATAATAGAACATAACGAGAATTGCCCATGAAACTGGATATATTAATTACAGATTGCTTTTCTTTTAAAATATATAGTAATTTCAACATGCAACTTTCAAAGCTGTCCTGCTTGTCTGTGATTGTTTCTGGCCTTCTGTTCTCTTCTGTGATAAAAAAAAAAAATGCCTCAATAACCTTCTTTTCTTTTTGTTTCCTTTGTGGGCTTTTTCAAGGGACCACCTTACTCCCAAGCCCTCCTCTTCTACTCCCAAACATACAGTGTAATTAAAACAAATTCCTACATTGATTATGGGGGTATCACCACTCTATAAGAACCCTGCTTCATCATCAGTCCTCTGGAATCAAGGTTGGCCATTGCATCAATCAGAGTTCATAAGTCTTTAAAAGGTTTTTTTTTTAATTTTTTATAATATTGTAATCATCATTTAGCTCGTTCTTCTGGTTCTGCTCACTTCACAGTTCACAGAGTCCAGGTTTCTCTGAAAATGTCTTTCTCATCATTTCTTACAGCACAATCATATTCCATTTCATTCATATAATGTAATTTGTTCAACCATTCCTCAATTGATAGGCACCCCTGCAGTTTCCAGTTCTTTTACTGTAATAAAAAGAGCTGCTATAAATAAAGGCAATCAATTCTAATCATTGTTTATATTTATGTGGCAATTTACAGTTACAAGATGATTTACATTATATTTCATCTTTCCAACAACACAGAAAGGAGTAGATAACCCTATTTTACAGATTGTAGGTTTAAGGGTATCTTAGAAATCATATAGTTTAGTCCCTTCATTTTATATCTGAGGAGACTGAGGCTCCACAATTGTTAAGTGATTTGCCCAAACTCACAAAAATAAGATTCAAACCCAAATCCTGTGACCCCAAATCTAGCCCTCTTTCCACTGCACCACTTTTGCCTCCCTTGATCAAGACCAGGGAAAGTGTCCACTGTGTACTGTTGTAAGCATGTCTTATAGCCTTCTAGTTATAAGTATGTCTGAATTGAGCAATTGGGGACCATCAGGACCACTCTTGATGCCTTTCCAGCTGGTCAGAAGCTGCCAGCGTTTGTGTTCTATTGGTATTGCCTTTGAAAACCACAGTTACCACCACACCAAGATAAGGTGCTGGAGTAAGATTATGTGAAGAATAGTGTCATGGAGGATACTCTGTGTAATGCCCAACTAGAAGAGGGAATCCAGTCAAGGTTCTATAGATGCAACTGTTTGCAGATGGCATTGTGCTTATTACACAAGGCCCTGGAACACTAGAGGGCTACCTCAGTGAGATATATGGACATTCAAAGGGGCTCAGCCTAGACATCTATAATGGAAAAACAGAGTGGATGAAAAATATGCCTTATCAATGTAATACCTTACCTATGGCATGTGCCCAGATCACCTAAGATAAAGTCATCTGCATGAGCAGAACTCGAACCTTGTTTTGGGAGACAGAACTGGTGTATGTATAGACATTCTATGATGGTCTACCATATTGAAATTAGGCCCTTTCCATACATAGCTGGAACTGTCTGAAGCTTTAAAACTACCTGACTAAAGCAGTTGCTCTTTTCCAGCATTCTCATCTTGGAGTAAGTCCACACCTTTCTTGGCCATCCAAATATTACAAGAAACTTTCTCAAATATCTTGATGAAATCCAGATACATTGCCCACAAAATTCTTCTGACCAAGTAGCCCAGGGGAAAAAAAAAATGAAATCTAGCAGAATGAACCCATGCTGCCTCTTAGTGATCACCACCTCCCTAAGGGCTCATTTTGTTGTTTAGTCAATTAGTCATGTCTGACTCTTTGTGAGCCCATTTAGGGTTTTCTTAGCAGAGATACTGGAATTGTTTGCCATTTTCTTCTCCACCTCATTTTACAGATGAGGAAACTGAAACATGCCCAGGGTCACACAGCTAGTAAGTGTCTAAGATCAGATTTGAACTGAGGTCCTCCTGACTCTAAGGCCCCCTTTCTAGCCACTGTGCAATCTAGCTGCCCTAGGTGTTCATAAGCTTTCCATTTAATAGTCATTTCTAGAATCTTTCCTGACTTGAAATCAAACTCACCAACCCCAAATCTAAAATTCCACCTTCTTCCCATTTCTGATAATACCTTTCCCATTCACCATAATTCCTAAAAATCTTGGCTGGCTGGTCAAGAGTATAGTTTTTCCGGACTTGGTGACTTGAATTCATTGGTGGCAGTTAAGTACTCTTTTAACATCATACTTACCTGATCTTTCTCACTATGTCTCATATCACTTGTGTCTCTCCTCTGTACTTGACACATTAGTTTACATTATGGTTACTTGCATTTTTGTCTTATCCCTTCTACAAAAATGACCAGTTCCTTGAGATCAAGCACTGTACGTTATTTTGTCTTTCTTTCCTCTATGCCTAGCATTAATTAGGACTCATGTTTGTTGAACGGAATTGAATTATCCTGGGTTTTAAGGTGCAGTTAATCATTATCTCAGCCTTCTGACCCACTGTACAGACACTAGTCCATTATGACTGAGGTTGGCCCCAAAGAAGAGATATAAGAAGTTACCTACCTTACCCAGGCTCTTTGCAGAGGTGAGGAGTAATGAGAGTGTAGAATACTACATATATGACTTCTGACTTTTTTGATATGTTGGTTAGTTTTGCTGGACAGTTTTCCCCCTTTTGTTTTATTCTTTGTTATAAGGAAAGACTCTCTAAGATGGAAGAGAGAAAGACTTCCAGGAGCCAAGATGGCAGAGTAAGCAGTAAGTCACTGTCACCCTCCCACATTAACCTCTAAAAAAACCAAAAAATAATGCCCCAGGAAAAATCTTGGAACAGTTGAGCCAGCAAGAGGATGGGGTGAAGCAATCTCTTGGCCTGGGAGACCTGGAAGATCACCAGGAAAGGTCCGTTCTGCTTCTGCTCGGGTGAAGGAGGAGTGCATTCCAGGGAGGGAAGGTGTCCCAGCAGGGAGGTGGTGACCCCCACCTCAGCAAACCAGTGGAAGATCCTGAGCCCCAGGGTGGTGGAGCAGGCAGGCCCCAGCACCAGGACCCCCAACATGCCTTAGCATAGCCAGGAGAACCAGCAGACTCCAGCTCAGAGAACCACCATGTGGGCTGGCACAGCCCTAGCAGGCAGGTATCCTCCAGCAGCAGACCTCCCCGCACTCTGATGCAGCCCAAAGCAGGGAGGCATCCTCCAGGGGTAGACCTTCACGTGCTTCAGCACAGCCCAGGGTGGGCAGGCGTTCTCCAGCAACCAGACCTCCACGTGCTTCAGTGTAGCCCTGGGAAAACACAGAAAAACCTCACCTGGCCTCAGCACATGCCAGATGCCACCACTAGGACCCCAGTTCAACACAATTACAAAACACTTTTCACACAAATAAAGTCAGATTTAGATACTTGGAAAAATATCAGTTGCTCATGGGTAGGCCAAGCTAATATAACAAAATGACAATTCTACCTAAATTAATTTACTTTTTCAATGCCATACCAATCAAACTACCAAAAATTATTTTATAGAGGTAGAAAAATAATAATGAAATTCACCTGAAAGAACAAAAGGTCCAGAATATCAAGGGAATTAATAAAAAGATATGCAAGGATAGGTGACCTAGCCATACCAAATCTTAAATTGTATTATAAAGTAGCAGTCATCAAAACTACTTGGTACTGGCTAAGAAGGTTAGGTACACAAGACACAATAGTCAATGACTATAGTAATCTACTGTTTGATAAACCCAATGATTCCAGCTTCTGGAATAAGAACTCACTATTTAACAAAAACTGCTGGGAAAACTGGAAAACAGTATGGCAAAAACTAGGCATAGACCAACATCTTATGCTGTATACCAAGATAAAGTCAAAATGGGTACACAATTTAGACATAAAGGCTGATACTATAAGCAAACTTGGAGAGCAAGGGATAATTTGCCTGTCAGATTTATGGAGAATGGAAGAATTGATGACCAAACAAGAGCTAGAGAGCATTATGAAATGCAAAATGAATAATTTTGATTACATTAAATTGAAAAGTTTTTGCACAAGCAAAGCCAATGCAACCAAGATTAGAAGGGAAGCAGAAAGTTGGGAAACAATTTTTACAGCTAGTGTCTGATAAAGGCCTCATTTCTAAAATAGAGAACTAAGTCAAATTTATAAGAACACAAGTCATTCCCCAACTGACAAATGGTCAAAGGATATGAACAGGTAGTTTTCAGATCAAGAAATTAATGCTATCTATAGTCATATGAAAAAATGCTCTAAATCACTGTTGATTAGAGAAATGCAAATTAAAACAGCCCTGAGGTACCACATCACACCTATCAGATTGACTAGCATGACAAAACAGGAAAATGATAAACATTGGAGATGTGGGAAAATTGGAACACTAATGCATTGTTGGTGGAGTTGTGAACTGATTCAACCATTCTAGAAAACAATTTGGAACTATGACTAAAGGGCTAAAAAATTGTGCATACCCTTTGACCCAGCAATACTACTTCTAGATCTGTTTCCCAAAGAGGTCATAAAAAAGGGAAAAGGATTCAAATGTACAAAATATTTATAGCAGCTCTTTTTGTAGTGGCCAAGAATTGGAAATTGAGGGGATGCACATCAATTGGGGAATGGTTGAACAAGTTGTGGCATATGAATGTAATGGAATACTATTGTTCCATAAGAAATGATGAGCAGGCTGACTTTAGAAAAACCTGGAAAGACTTACATGGACTGATGCTGAGTGAAGTGAGCGGAACCAGGCGAACATTGTACACAGTTAACAGCCACATTGTGCAATGACTAACTTTGATAGACTTACCTCTTCCTAGCAATGCCAGATCTAAGACAACTCTAAAAGACTTATGATGGAAAATGATATCCACATCCAGAAAAAGAATTATTGAATCTGAATGCAGATTGAAACATACTATTTGCTCTCTCTCTTTTTTTGTTTCTTCTTTCTTATGGTTCCTCCCATTGGTTCTGATTCTTCTTTACAACATGACTAATGTAAAATATGTTTAATATGATTATATATGTAGAGCCTATGTAAAATTACATGCTGTCTTGGGGTAGGTGGAGGGAAGGGAGGGTGAGAAAATTTGGAATCCAAAATTTTATGGAAGTGAATGTTGAAAACTCAAAATAAAACAATTAATATTTAAAAAAAAAACATTGTGCAATGATCAACTTTGATAGACTCAGCTCTTCTCAACCAAGGATCTAAGACAATTCCAAAAGACTCAAAAGGGAAAATGCTATCCTCATCCAGAACAACTATGGAGTCTGAAGGCAGATTGAAGCACACTATTTTCTCTCTTTCTTTTTTTTTTCATTTCCTCTTTCTCTTGGTTTTTCCCTTTGATTCTGATTCTTCTTTAGAATGTGAATAATGTGAAAATGTGTTTAATTTGATTGTACATGTGTAGCCTATATCAGATTGCACACCGTCTCTGGGAGGGGGAGAAAATTTAGAACTCAAGACCTTATAGAAGTGAATACTGAAAATGAAAAATAAGTAAATACATTTTTTTAAAAAAGATGAGAGAGAAATGTTGGAAAATATAAACTATATATAAGCAAGAGATATCAATAAAAATGGATTTTCCTAAAATGGTGGTTAGGTTCACACAATCTCAGATTTAGGAAGGGCCTCAGAATTTACGTAGTCTGACTCATACCTGAACAGGAATCCCATCCACAACCTTGCTAATAAGTGGTCATTCAGTTTCCATATAAGGAACTCATTATTCCCCACCCTAGCTAACCCATAAGAGTCTATTTAACCTAAAACATGAGTGAAATACAATTATCATTTTCAATAATAAAACTTATAGCTAGCATTTACATAACACTTTAAAGTTTATAAAGCTCTTTACATACGTTAACTCATTTGGTGGTCTAACAACCCTGTGAGGTAGGTGCTATTACTATTTCCATTTTACAGATAACTGTTGGCAATTTTCAGAAACTGAGGCAGAGAGAAGTTGTTACTCGACTATGGTCACACAGCTAGTCAGCATCTGAGGTAGGATTTGAATTCCGATCTCCCTGACTGTAAGTCCAGCATTCTAGCCACTATGCCAACTATGCAAACTATATAGTACTATTTCAGTTGTAAAATCATGGTTTGTGTGGAGCTAGATGACTAGATTGAACATGAAATAGAGCAGTGGATAGAGCATCAGGCCTAGAGTTAGGAAGACCTGAGTTCAAATCCAACCTCAGATACTTACTAGCTGTATGACCCTGGGCCACTAGTTTACTTAACACTGTTTAAATCAGTTCCTCATTCTGTAAAATGAGCTGGAGAAGGAAACGGCAAACAATTCTGCCAAGAAAACCCCAAACAGGGTCAAGAAGAGTCAGACATGACCAGAACAACTAAACAACAACAAAATTACAGTTTGTAGACTTCTAAAGTTCTGCTCTATTGCCTCTTCCTGGACTCTCAAAGGCTATACTAATGGAGTGCAAACTCTAACAACTCTTGCCAGGCTGAAAAGGCTTAGAGGTATGGGCCTAGTAAGGTACTATAGGATTTTCATTCAAGGGACGGTCTAGCTTAATTCAGAGAGGCTATGACCAGATTCGCCACTGAATGATATATTCTTTTTCTTTTTCTTTTGGCCATACCAACTCTTAGAGACTCTCTCTACTAAGGTATAGATGCTAAGGTTGATCTCTGCCTTGGTGGAGAAAATATCTTTATTGTTACAATCATAGATATTTGATATGGGCTATGTAGACTTTGTGAACTAAATTATCATAGGAAAAAGTAATCCAAGTTGAAAACATCGTTTAATAGAAACACATTTCTAATAGCATGGCAAGCCAATGAGAAATTGCTACCCAATCCCCACTCTTACCCCTGTGGGACTTCCCTTAAGAAAAAGAAAAATAGTTAAATGAAACCAACCAACATAGTAATGAAGTCTGGCAATGTATGCAATATCTCACACCTATAGTCCCCCACCTCTCCTGGAAAAGGTAAAAAGTGCACTTCTTCATCTCTTCTCCATAGGCAGGAGTGGACATTAAAACTGTCCACCAGTCGAATTTCATTTTATTAATCTTTCCATTTACAATACTAAAGTCATCACATACGTAATTTTCTGATTCTGCTTACCATTCTGCACTGATTACATTCTGATTCTTCATTGATTCAGAGAAAATTTCCCTTGTTTCTCTTAATTCTTTATAGTCATCATTTCTTATTGTATAATGATGTTGTCTTCTGGAGCTGATCTTTGAAAAAGTAAGACCAAATAGCAGAAAAGGAGTCAACAACAATGTCAAAATTGTTGTCTAAATTTCTAAACTACTAAATTAGTTGTTTAAATTTCTCTTTGATCTCTTCGGCATATATATTCAGAAGTGGGATCTAAAAATCAAAAGGTATGAACAGTTTAGTGACTTTTATCTCATAATTCCAAATTGTTTCTCCAGAATGGTTGAACAAATTCATAGTTCCACCAATATGATATCAGGGTCCCTGTCTTGTAGTCCTTCCAACATGGACTATTCCTATTTGTTTTTAATTCTCTGTTACAATTTGGTGACTGTAAGATGAATTCTGTGAGCTGTTTTAATGAGTATACCTTTCATTATTTTGAACTATCTTTCATATTGTTGTTAATAATTTCTTCTTTTTTTAGACCTCTGCTCATATTCTTTGATCATTAACTCTTGATCTTGGGTATTTGTGCTAATTCCCTATATATCTTAGATATCAGACTTTTTTCAGTGATATTTTATATAGTAATTTTTTCCCCTATTTGATGGTTTACCTTCTAAGCCTAACTGCATTGATCTTGTCCATGAAAAAGCTTTTCAATTTCATGTAACTTGTTAACAGATTTTTACTGAGCCAGTTTCCAACCTGAGAATAACGAAACAGTAGGCCAGAGACAAAGTGCCAGTAATCAGGTAGCTGTTTAATTAATTTGTTTCATTATGAGAAACAGATTTGCAAATTGGGAATTTCAGGATTTCACCTTGCTGTAGTGAAGACAGAGATTATATATATAAATCACAATGGGAAGGGAAGGGGGAATGTGGATTACAAACAATCATTTCTAGGGATTGAGCGGTTTCCCATGACAAACCCACAAATGGAAGACAATTCAACAATTCTGGAGTCTAGTTTTGGGGGTCGTGACTTGGTGGGTCACAGGACCAGAGCTCTGTGACAAGAACAGGTTCTTACAGTATTTGATTCACTTCACTTAAGGTACAGGCAGTGATTGTGAGCATTGGCAAGGTTTTATTGATCATTTAAAGCTTCATTGTGAGCTTCTAACTCACAAGAGAGGCAGTTCTGAAAAATCTAAATTATTAGTATGTTCATTATACATATATCAATTATTATGAAAATCATCATTCTCTTCACAAACTGAAATTATCTTTTTTATTTTGTGTGATTTACTCTATCCCTAGTTTGATCATGAACTCTCTCTCTACTTATAGCTCTGAAAGGTACTTCCATTTTCTTCCAAGTTAGAAAAAAATGATTAGACCTTTTATATTAAGTCTTGAATGAACTGGAACTTATTCTGGTCTTAAGGAGTAAGATGCAGAACTAAACCAATTTTTTCTGTCAAACTGCTTTCCAGTTTTCCCAGCAGTTCCTGACAAATGGCAAATCCTTCCTCCTGAAGTTTGCACTTAGGGGTTTATCAAACACTGGGCTAATTAGTTTGGTGGTTTCTGGTTCTTGCTTATCTATTTTGTTCCACTGATCTACTTTTCTCTTTTTGAACTTGTATCAAAAATTTTGTGATTGTTGTTATAAATAGCAGTAACTTAAAGTTTGGGATATTCCAATTCATTCTAACTTTCCCCCCCTTTCTATTTCTCTTCCTGGGCTCTTTTAAAGATAGTTTTTACAAGATCTAACTTCTATGATCACTATCTGCAGCTTGTCTGGTCCTTCAGAAAGAGGAAAAGAAATTTCTCAAAATGAGAGATAAGAGTCAGTAAGAGAAAACCGTTATTTCTTCATTAGGAAAAAACTGAAGACCACTCACTATGGTAAGTTGTGGTTGATCTTATTCATGGCCCCATTATTTCAATGAATAGTTCAAGAAGGAAACAGGATCAAAAATTGGAGGACCCCTGCAAACTGAGTACTATCCTTTAGCATCCCAGAATCTTTAAATAAAATACAAATCCTTGAATTAAAGTTTGCAGCTAGCATGTTTCTTGCTCATTTAAAGAAACTATTCAAGAGTGGCTTCGATTCCATTTTGATAACATAGGGAGGTCTTCTTAAGATCTCTTACTGGATAGTAAGGAGAGTATATATGGAGAATATATATGGAGAGCATAGTTTTATACACCAGCCTTTCACGTGAATACAATTTTAAGAAATTATCTTTTGCCTTCCCTCTAAGAACTTTACTATTCTGAGCATTCTTTGCTACCAGTCCCAGGCATTTGGGGGAACAGTTATCTGTGAGATAACTGTCTACAATGCATTGCAGTGAAGAATAAAATGAAAAAGAATGTAAAAAGCCTACCACAGTGTGAAAATTCTGTGAAGTGTGATGTTTGGGTAGGAACTTCTGCTTTCCATTCTGATCCTTTTTTTCCCACAGGACTTTTCTAGCTCTTAATCTTTGGGGTGAAGGAGGCATCTTCAGCCCTCTCCAGGTTACACAGCTGCAGTGTCTCATCTCCATAGGGCTTTCTATTCCACGCCCCTGTGCTAGGTGAATTTTCAGATCCCTTTTATGTGATGTCTTCCCCAAAAGAATATAAGCTCCTTTAAGGTAGGGGCTGTCTTTTGTTTCTATTTTCTGTTCTTAGTGCTTAGCACAGTGTCTGGCACATAGTAAATGTTTAATAAATGCTTGTTGACTGACTAACTGACAGAGAGCTTAGAGAAGGTATCCTCCTTCCTGGCCATTTTCTGGGCTGTTTGACTCAAGATGACTCTGTGGAGTTGACCTTTCCACACCATCTTGGAGGATGATGCCAAAAGTTCAGCTCTCAATTTCATGGTTCAAATATTTTGTCAATGCCTTCAGTGGCTTCTACTTGGAATTAGACCTCAGACAACAGGTCAGAGTTGATCTTTTTCAGGCTGGATTTGGCAGCCATTATGTCCAGCATGTGCAGTTTCTTTTGCTGGCAGCTGCACTGAGGAATCAACAACCACTCTAATGGAGCCACTGCTTATGGAATACTTGGTGCTCATGTTCTTCTAACCATAGTGGCTTCAGCACCTGAGTAGAGATGTATAGGTACGTGAACAGAGAAAGTAGAACTCAAAGGTCCTACTCTGAGTTGGGACATCCATCTGCTTCAAAGTAGCCTTGCTGAAGTACATCTGAGTAGGGGAGGAGATGGTGAAGGATATTTGACCAGGTGCAAGCCTAGACTTAGAGGGAAGGGGTGGCACAGAGCAGTGGGACTGGGCATTGTCCTTTCTGATCTTCAAAGTCTTTTCTAACTAAAAATTCTAAGAATCCTGGATAACTTTGCCTTAACAGCCACCACCATCCTAGTACCAACTCAAGCTGAGGAAAGTGTAAGATAGGAAAAGGTATTATCTTGGGATGCTCAGACAATCATAAAGTTGCTCTCAGATGAAGAAGTAGGATATCTTTTAATGTCCACTTCCCTCCTCATCCTTCTCCAATCTCAATCACAAGTTTTAGGAAATCATTGTTATTGTTGCAAAATAACTGAATCATATGCTTTTACCAGGCCTTCTTCCTGGGTTCCTCACACACAACATTCCATCAGCAGTCTCTGCATCTTTAGGCTGTCCCATGTGCCTGGGATGCATTACCACTGGATTAAGCAGTATCCTTCCATGTGCTCTCTTTATTTGTTCCCCAAGATTATTCAGTCTTGTTTGTTTAAAGGTGTTCCAAATAACATCTACAGCACTCTGAGAGGACAGTGATGGAAGCACAGAGAAAGCCTAGTCCATTAGAGCATGGACTGACTTAATTATGTTTGTGTCTTGGTTAAAGGAAGTACTCAATGAATGGTTATTTACTGAGAAAAAGAGTGGCATCTAGTACTCATCCTTGGTCGAAAATCGTTAAGAAAGGTGGCATGCTAATTCACAGAAAAGACCACCCCCTGTAGAAGTTCCAGCTGGTGGTAGAGATCATAGATGTAGTGGTAGAGAGCCTATATGATGCTTGCTAAATAAGAACTGTGCTGAGATGGAGGCTGCATCTTCACTTTCCTCATGTAATGATCTGCCCAAGAAAAAGGGTGGATTTGAGATTCCAAGTGTCTGACCACTATATTATGTTTCATAACACACCTGATATTAGTAAATTTGTCATGTTTCTGAAACATACAAATTAAGAAGTGTTGTTATGGTTTATTTATTCTAACTATAGTTTTTTGTGTTTCATACCACGTTTTCTTTAATAACTAGCGAATGTCTTTGAGCAAAAAACATATATTCCACATACTACTTGGTTATAAATAGTGTCACCTTTAAGAAAAGGAATATTTCGGATTGGTTCAGCCAAGTAGACCCAAATCATTTTTGAAAGTCGAACAAAGAATAATTTCCAAATGGATTTCTTGCTGTGCGTAACGCTAAGTGCAGCCCTGTCAGCTTTTATACTTTATTTTGACCTGCTTTGTAAAATGATATTCAGAACAGCTCAGTGTGATGTCAACTTCCATTAATTCTTTCTTCAATGATAGGTATTCATTATTCAAACCGTGTTTTCACTGGCACAATCTATTTATGCTTCAGTTTCTTTGCTGAAGGTTTGGAAGGAACAATTCCTAGGGAAGACTATGTTCTTTCTTTGCAATTTTTCCTCCTAAAACGACCTTCCAAAAGGACATAGGGATTGTTCTATAACAATGTCTGAGTTGTTTCCAAGGCAGATATTGTGAAAACATTTAATGTTTCTTACACTTGAACAGATCTGTCATTAAACTAGTCAAGTACTAAGCTAGTTAAGATGTATTTAAGATTATTTCCATTGTGAGCATTTTCATCAACTGCTTATTTGACTTATCTAAGGTTGCCCAGTAAAGGGCACCTCACAACAATAATGTTCTTGCTTGTTTTTATATGAGACATGAATAGAACCATTCTCTCACTGATTTATAAACATAAAAAAATACAAGTTTATAAAAAACTACTTGTTGTCTTTTAAGAGTTATAATGATTACATGTTGGAAAGAACAGCCTGTTGGGATCTTTTTGCTGATCCAATGCTGCACGATACAATACTTGAGAAATAAATTGTCCAGCAAGTTTTTGGTTTGAAAGGACAATATAAATCACCTATTTGAAATCCTGCCTTTAAAAAAAGAATAGAAAACAGCTGGGAGGAGGGGAAGTGAAGAAAAGGGGAACAGATATTAGAGTGAACCTAAATCTGGATTTGGTTGATTCTGAAGTTGATTCATTAGCGGAATTTGGAAAAGAAAACATTCCTCAGGAGAATCGCAGTGATTCATAGTCCTGAGAGCAGTCACATAGTCACACAACGTGTAAAGCAGCTATGAAACTACTAAGGGTAGTTTTCTCCCTCCTTTTCATTCAGACTTGGCTATTTCCAGTCTTTTTCTGAAGCTGAGCTCTAGCGGGCTCAGTCAAAACCAGTGGTTCTTGTATGATGGTTGCTGGGTAACTTTTGCCCAGCAGTTCAACCTCCACTCTCTGTCCCACTTTACTAAGCTCCATGGGGACATAAGCAAAAGCCAGACTCTTCCGAGTGCTGTAACTGTAGCTTCCAGAGGTAGTGTTGCCCACAACCTGAAAGACAAAGGAAATGATCCTCATCATCTGTATCACTCATTTGTGCGTGGTAGTTTATGTATGAGAATGTGTACTCCATTTGTCCTTGACAATAGGAAACCAGTCTGAGTAGAATGAAGTCAGTGGATAACCACTCACACATTTGTATTGTGCTGCTCCATTGATACAGTACTCCATTCGAATCATGGCATACTATGGCCATAGACAAATGGCTCCACTCTTCTGGGAAGAAAACAGGTATTAAGTGAGTACGTACTCTGTGCGCTGTATTAAGAACTTTCCATTTGATCTGGACCTCGGTTTCCTCAACTGTAAAATGAAAAGGATGGGCTAGATAATGCCTTGGATATCCTCCAACTCTTCACAACTATGACTACAGGAATAACTATGACATTCTTGTAGCGCTAGTCAAGCGAAGTTCAAGCTTCTGACACTTATTAGCTGTGTGATCTTGAGCATGTTATTTTACTTCTATGGGGCTCAGTTTCCTCATAACTTTTAATAATAGTAACTTCCTTCATTTTCTACTCTTCCTTTATTGCTACTTCCATCTTCTGACACTTAAAGAAATGTGATTGTCTTCAGAAGACATCTTTCCCATCTTTAGCCTGTACACCCTTCCCCAGCCCTGGTGGTTTAGGGAGGAGGATTGGACATGCTTTCTGGCTCCTAAGTGTTGCTCCCAGATTCTCCCTCTACCTCTCCATCTCTGAGGATCACTCGATCCAAGTGTTTCACCCTATCCTGCTCCTCCTGGAAGTTATCCAGCCTACAGCTCATATCCCCTGTTTTCTCAAGAAATTCAGTATCTGCTTTTTCTTCAACCCATCCCTTGCCCTTATACTTGGGAACTTTAACATACATGTTGCTGTTCCCTCAAATACCCCGGCCTTCTAGTTCCTCATTTTATTCAACTTCTATTACCTGCCTCTTCACTCTACTTCAGCCACTTACGGGGAAGGTCAGTCATACCTTTGACTTCACCATCACTCACAAGTGTTCCACATCCATGATCAAGTTACTATATCCAGCTATAACATCTTGTCATTCCACCTCCCTTGATATGTCATGCCTTCTAAATCTTTTCTTCATCCTTACTGTGACCTCCAATCCCTCAACCCCTCAGTTTCACCACCCCTCCCCTATCATTCTTGCTCTGGCTTCACATTTCTTCCTTCCCAATCTTGATAATTCAGTGTTGCTCTGTTCTCCATTGTTGTATCCCTTGCTCCCTTGACCTATCATTGCTTTGCCATATCCCAGTCCTGAAATGTCGTTACCATCTGACTCCTCTGCTCCTACTCACATGTAGCTAAAGAGTGCTGGAAGAAGTCATCTAACTGTCCCAGTCACCCAGACTCACAACCTAGGTGTCATCCTTGATTCCTCACTCACTATCAACTCACCTATCTAATCTGTTGTGAAGTCCTGTCATTTCTACCTTGGCAACATTTCTCTTATATATCTCCTTCTCTCTACTCATGTAGCTGCTACCCTGTGCAGGCCCTCATTGTCTCGTGCCTGAACTATTGCCGTAGCCTTTTGGTAATTCTCCCTGCCTCAGATCTCTCTCCACTCCAGTCCATTCTCCACTCAGCTGCCAAAGTGATCTTCTTAAAGCTCGGGTCTGACAACGTCACCCCTCCCCAACTTCATAAATTTCAATGGCTCCCTATTGTTTCTAGGATCACATATAAAATCCTGTTTGGCTATTGAAGCCCCTGCAAACCTGGTCTCTCCCTACCTCTCCAGTCTCCTTACCCATTGTTCTCCTCCCTTCTGAATATCTCTTGGACACATTTTCTCCCAGTACTTTCACTGGCTATTCCCTACGCTTGGAATGTTGTCACACCTTGTTGCTGAATCCTGGCTTCTTTCAATACTCAACTCAAATCCTACCCTCTTCAAGAGAATTTTGCCAGTTCCCAGTAAGTGCTTTCCCTCTGAGATTTGCCATTTACACACACACACACATACACAGATACACACACACACATGTATATGTATAGATAGATACACACACACATATATATACACATATATATCTTTATGTATCTTGTACGTACATAGTTATTTATATGTTATCTTCTGAATTAGAATGTGAACTCCTTAAAGGCAGAGCTCATGTTTTTGCTTTTCTTTGTATCTTTAATGCTTAGCACAGTGCTTTGATTATAGTAAGTCCTTGATTGATTGGCTGACACAACCCTGCTGATTGGGCTTACTACAAATTCGTGTTATATAATCTCAACTAGGTGCTCACTGCAACAAGGCAATAGTTTTACTCTTCTCTGCTGGACTCTCTCTCTTATTCTCACCAAAGAAAGTGTTTCCAAATTTCATTTCCTTTCTCAAGTCTCCCCTCACCCTCTCAGAGGGACCTCACTCCATACTTTATTGAGGAAATAAAGATCATTCACATTGAACTCCCTCTTCTCTCCTACCTTACATTTCAAAACCTCTTAAAATCATCTTCATCTTTATCTCTGTTACTCTGGTCTCTGATGAAGAGGGAGCCCTTCTCCTCCCTGAAGTTAACACATCCGCATGTACCCTTGACCACATCCTTTAAAGTCTCTTGTCAAATTGCTTTCCCAATCATATTTCTCTCTAATCTTCAATGTCTCTCTATCTACTAGCTTCTTGCCTTCTGCCTTCAATCTTACCCAGGGCTCCCCTTCCTTAAAAAGCACCTCACTTGACCCAAACACTTCCTCAAAATCTCTTCCTACATCTCTCTTTACTGTTTTGGCTCCTTGACCTTATTCTTCCATTGAAACTGATCTCTTTGAAGTTACCAACAGTCTCTTAATTTTCAAGACCAATGACCTCTCTGAGGCATTTAACTCTTCTCCTGGATTCTTCCTCTTCTCTGGGTTTTCATGACTAACACTCTCTCTTGGTCCTGTTCCAACCTGATTGGCCATTCCTTATTATAGTTTATTGGATTATTGTCCTTGATTCATACTCTAACAGTGGGTGTAACCCAAGGTTTTGTCCTTGACCCTCTTTTCTCTTTACACACTCCCTCTTCATAGTCTTTTCATTTCCCTTGGGCTTAACATCATCTCCATACATATGACTCCTAAATATTGATATCTGGCCCTAGTTTCTTTCCTGAACTCCAGGCCTTCATCACTGTCTATTGAACAATTCAAACTGGATACCCTGGAGACTTCTCAAACTCATCCGTGTCCTAAACAGAACTCATTATCTTTCCTCCCAAACCTATCCTTTTTCTTAACTTACCTATTTCAGTGAAAGGTGCCACCATCCTTCCATTTACCCAGATTCCCAACCTCAGTCACCCTCAGCTCTTCCCTCTCCCCACATATCCAGTCAGTTTCAGCTCTACCTCCACCATACCTCTCAACTCTGTTTCCTTTCTCTACTCAAATAGCTATCATCCTAGTTAAGACCCTCATCACCTGTCACCTGGAATATTACGATAACTTGCCAGTTGGTCACCATGCTTCAAGTCTTTCTCCTCTCTAATCAATACTCTGTATATATAGCTATCAAAGTGATATTCCAAAAGCACAGATCTGACCATACCACTTTCTTGCTCTATAAACTTCAGTGGCTGCCTATTGCTTTTAGAATCAAATATAAACTCCTCTGTTTGGTATTTAAAGTCCTTTGCTACCTGATCCAGACTATCTTTCCAGTTCTATTATATATTGATCTCTTTCACACACTCAAAAGTCCAAGCACACTGACCAACTTCCTTTCCTTCACACATGACATTCTACCTCTTGTCTCCAAGTCCTTGTACTGCCTGACTCACATGCCTGGAATATACTTTGTCTTCATCTTCATTTCTTAGAATCTGTAGCTTCCTTCAAAGCTTAGCTTACATGCTACTCCTCCATGAAGGCCTTTCCTAATCCTGCATGCTGTTAATGCCTCCCCCTACACACCAAAAATACTTATCTTGTATTTAATTTGTATATATAGTATATATACTTATCTACCAGTATGTTGGTAAACGTTTAACAATTGTCTCTCTTGAGAAAAAAAAAGTGCCTGGATTGCCTTTTAAGTTTAATCTATATTATTAGCATTTTTCTCCATTATTTTCATTAGGCTAGACAAATCAACAAAATAATAAATCAAGCCCTGTTTTCAAGCATTTGTGATTTTCAAGATATAAATGTTCACACTGAAAATTTAACAATCAGTTCTCGAGAGCAGGGAGGAGCTGCCTCTAGCACATTCCTGTACTTATATGTCTCCATATTGTCTCTCATAGCTGGATAAAGCCAAGGTTATAAACTTGGGAGACTGAAAGAATGGTGATGCTTTTTAACAGAAATAAGGATATGTATAAAAAGGGTGGATTTAGGGAGAGAGGTAATGAGTTTTGTTGGGTTTGAGATATCTTCTGGACATCTGGTTTGAAATGTTCAATAGGCAATTTTTGATGAGAGAAAGAAGATTAACAGAGACTAGATATGGATCTGGGAGTCAGCAGCATAGAGAAGATAATTAAATCTGTGGGAGCTGATGAGGTCACAAGAGATAGAGAACAAAGAAAGATGATGATAGTGATAATATTGATAACATTTATATAATGCTTTCAGGTTTGCAAAGCACTTTACAAATATTATCTCATTTTATCCTCACAACCCCGGGAGGTAGGTCCTATTATTATCCTCATTTACAGATGAGGGAACTGAGGCTGACAGAGGGTAAGTGACTTAGCCAGAGTCACATAACTACGAAGTATCTGAGACCAGATTTGAACTTGGATCTTCCTGGTTCTAAGATCAGCACTCCATCTGCTGCACCACTTAGCTGCCTATAAGGACTATGACAGAACCTTGGGAAGCACCCATTGTTGAAAGCTATGATATTCATGGTGAGCCAGCAATGGAGACTGAGAAGTAGCAGTTAGGTAGGAAAAGCAAGAAAGTAGTTTAAGAAAATCCAGGATTTAGGAGGGGTTATCTCCAGTCATTCTGATCTATATCTGGCCACTGAAACCAGATGGCTCT